TGAGAAAAACCAGACGCAAAGCGAGCGTGCTTTATTAATCAATTTATATAAAGTTCAAGAACAGACAAAACTAATCTATGGTGATAGAAATCAGTAGTTACTCGGGGTGTGTGTAGCGGTGGGACGTTTACATACTGCCTGGGAGAGGATATGAGAGAGTTGTCTGAGGGCTGGAAGTCCTAGATCTTGATCTAGATGGTGGTTACATGTGAATAGACATATGTAAAATTCATTGAGCTATACATTTTTGTGTGCATTTTACTACATGTAAAAAAGTAATTTATTTTTTTGAAAGATTTTATTTATTTATTTGAGAGAGAGACAGAGAGAGAGCATGAGTACGAGCACGAGGCGGGGGGGGGTAGGAAGGGGCAGAGGCAGAGGGAGAGGGAGAAGCAGACTTCCCGCAGAGCAGGGAGCCCGATGCGGGGCTCGATCCCAGGACCCTGGGATCATGACCTGAGCCGAAGGCTGACGCTTAACTGACTGAGCCACCCAGGCACCCCATAAAAAAGTAATTTAAATAAAGACTTAAAAAGGTTAAAAATTTAACCTCGGTGTCACAGGTTACCAGGAGAGCTGAGTAAAGTTTTAGAACTTCTCCTTTAGCCAAGGGGTTGCCTTAAACCATACGGAGTTGGGCATTTCGTGAGATCCCAACCTGGCTATCTTGGTTTGTTTTCAAACCTCGTAGGTATGGTGTCCATCTGAGATGCCAGCGGCCATTGCAACTGGCCCTGAGCCCTGGGTATAAATTAATAATATTTATATGCACGGAACAGAGATGGGTGTGGTGAGAATGAGCAAGTGAAATGTTTGACACAGTCTTGCACTTGCAGGATGCAACTTGCGGCTATAGACACCTTGAATCAGCCCCTCTGGGGGAACGATAGTGTTGTTCCTATAAAAACTAGTGTGTGAAATGTCACATAAGGGGGCTCACCACCCCTCTGTGTTTAAGGACCGAGCTACATTAGTTGCGAGTACATACAGAATTGTGTCATCAAAATTGGGGGGGGGGGACAGTGTTGATGGCTTTCGTTCTCCTTATTTGTAAGATTCACCCATGTTGTCTCATGTAGTCATAGTTTGTTTTTTTAATGGCTGTAGGGTAGGAAAATGTGGTTGTATGTGGTGTGTGTGTGTGCGCGCGCGCTCATGAAAGGGAGAGAATTGATTATTTTATTAATTCCAGGAATTAACAAAAAATCCAGCTTCAGAAAGGTCGAACAGGCATCTTTAGCTGCAATAATTTTTAAAAGCTTTTAAAAGCAAATTTTAAAAGCATTGACAAAGATGAACAAACACACAAAATAGTTTGTGTTGAGAGGAAGAACCATTTGTACTCGCCTACGGTGGGTGACAAATTCTCTACGTAAGATGCACTGAATCATTTCCACAAACCAGGCCAGACCATGTCCTATAAAGCCATTGTTAACCCTCCCTCTCTTCTCAGAAAAGTAAAATGAGGAAAATTCAAGCTTTGTGCCTACAACAATCCTGATAAAAGGCCAATGCTTAAAGTAAAAGCATTTCATCACTTTCATTTTTAAGAATGGAAAAACAGATATGTAGTTGATATTTGTAAAAATATTATTTGGTAGTTAGACCAAGTGGACACCATGTACTTATATTTCCCAAACACAGAGTGGGAATTATGGCCTCCTTATCATATTTTTAGCCTGTGGTTACTGCCTGCGTCACCTGGCCCATCCCTTTGGCTAATTGCCTGCACAATTATTCTCCAGTGTTCACTGCAGAATGACCCCTCTGTCCACCCACAGGAACAATGGTTTTCTCCTACACTTGGGGATTTTCCTTCAAAGACTGTGGACCACTCCCTGAATGATTTTAGGAATGAAGCTTTCTTTTCTCAAAAGTAATATGTGTTTACTGTAGAAACTTCAGTAAGTAGAGATAGGCAAAATGAATCCAGACAAAAATCACCCAGAATCTGACCAATATTATTCCTTAATGCATATGTATTATAAATATAAATAACATTTTATTGTGCTGACATTTTGTCAAACCAGTTCCTTGTTGGACATTGAGGTTTTTGTTATTTTTCTTGGTATAAACACTACTCCCAAAATTATTCCTGGAAACTGAACGTCCTTTTTTTGTTTGTTTGTTTGTTTAGTTTTTACTTTATAATCACAAACTTAACTCTGCAATCCAGCTCTTGGAGGGGAATAAGGAAAATATGGAACCACAGACCTGCAGCAAGAGCACAAAGACTATAGGCTATTTCGAGCAGATGGGGGTGAAGTGGTGTCTCCTGAGCTACAGAAGGAATGGTCTGGTACTTAAGATAACACACAAGTCAAATATATTAGATTTGTCCACAGTCAGCAATGGTGATCTTCTTGCTGGTTATGCCATTCCTGGACACAAACCCATCTATGCTTCCACAATATTCATGCCCTCTTTCACCTTGCCAGAGACCACATGCCAAACAGCCAACCACTCCGTCTTGGCCGTGCAGATGAGAAACTGGGAACTGTTCGTGTTGGGTCCAGCATTTGTCACAGATAAGATGCCAGGACCCGTGTGCTTCAGGATGAAATCCTCATCATCAACTTTGTCCCCATAGATAGACTTGCCCCCAGTGCCATTATGGTGTGGGAAGTCACCACCCTGGCACAGAAATCTTGGAATGATCCTGTGAAAGCAGGAACCTTTATAACCAAATCCTTCCTCCACAGTGCTCAGAGCACAAAAGTTCTCCACTGTCTTTAGCAGTTTGCAAAGTTTTAAACACACACACACACACACACACACACACACACACACACACACATACACACACACACACACGCATGCAGGCACCGGGCTAAAAAGGATATACAGACCTTATAGATAGTTGCTTTTCTGAAAAGTTGCATCAAATCCCATACCTGTTCCCACTGCGGATGAGCGTCAAAGGAAACATAGTCAAAAAGATCTCACACACATACCAGAAACAAATTGTAGTGAAGGTCATACTCCATCAATGTCCTTAGATTTTAATTCGAGAGGTTCCCTAGTTATTTGTAAATTTGGTAACTATGGCAAATGCATACTCAGAGGGAACTAGCTAACCTTCAGGCCATGTGTGCTATTCAGGTGACTCAAGAGTCTACAGTAATCTTAATGTTTTTATGTTGCCAGGTGATAATAAGCTGTTTCAGTACAATCTCTGAGAGAATTTCCAGTCAAATTGAAGGGTTTGGAATATTATAGACCCAGAGTGTGGGCTATAAATATAAGTAAGCTAGGATAGAAGGTAATTTGTTTCAGCTATTTCCTCTGGATGGTGGCAATGTCTACAATTAAAGAATTTACAAACTAGGGGAAGCTTTGAGTCACTCAAATTTCAGTTGTGGGATGGGACGACCAAGGGTCCCAGGGGCCTGTCCAAGCCTCCCTCAGGTGGGTGGAAAGGCTGAGTCAGTGTTGGAGGAGACGAGACTCCAGCACCTGGGCCGGCAGGGGTAGCAGAAGAGGTACAGGGGACCAAAGAGAGGAGCCAGAAAAGTGTGGGTTTTCATGTTAGACTGACCTAGATTCATATCGTAGTTTTCCCACTTGTTAAAGATAGGGCCTAGGGCATTTTACTCAAGCTCTCTGAGCTTTAACTCTATACAGTGGAGACAAACACCACTTCCTAGGGCTGCTGAGAGATTTCAGTGAAGTAAATGTGTAGAAACTAACTACAGTAACTGATACATCGAAGGAACTCCAACAAATGGTTGCTATTACTACTATCATGATTACTCATTATTATTGCTGTTGCCTTTGAGGATAGATGGATAGATTTGGGGGAGGCGTTACTTATTACTGATCATTACACCTCCTCTTTGGATTTTCTATTTTAGGGGTTCTTAATCTTGTGCCCAAGAATTCCCAAGAGGCCCATGGATAGATATCTGGGAGGGGGGGTGTTAAACCCTGGTGAGAAAAAAATGTCAATGTTCTTACTAGCCTGTAATGAAAACTTACTATTTCCTCTGTTATGACCACATGCAACAATTCACAGTAGTGATCATGCTTTGAGGAACAATACAAAATTACATATTATTTTTGTATCACATTAAAATTGTTGCAGGTTTCTCAAAATATCATTTCAATGGGAATCCTGTTTCAAAAGCTTCGTAGACCCACTCATTAGACCACTGCTGGAACACACGCAATCTCTGTCTTCCTGTCTACAGATGTTGGAGTGATGGAGCTGGCTGTCAAGGTAACTGTATTATAATTTTCAAAAATATTTTGATAAAATATCACAATTTGATAAAACATTGTACCTTTATTTCATGCACTTTTTTTAAAAGTAGGCTACACACCCAGCGTAGGGCTTGAGCTCACAACCTTGAGATCAAGCATCACATGCTCTACCGACTGAGCCAAACAGGCACCTCTATTTTGTGCACTTTTAAACAGTATTCTTCCAAGGGGTCCGCAGTCTTCATCAGACTGCCAGAGGGAGACAGAGGCACAACGAAGATTCAACCCCTTGGGTGGGGAGGCCATTGCAGGGCACCTGGCACACAGGAGAAGCCCTGCTGTCCACCAGCCCAAGAAGCTTCTTTATTCTTGTGTCAATTGCCTAGGCCAATAAACACCAAAAGCAGGACACTTCTGAAGACAATTCCTAACAGATCTAACTGTCTCTTAAAAGAGCCTAACTCTGTACAATAAATATAAAATATCAAGGGAGAAAATGTCTCCACAGGAGCCTGATGCCTGGAACATCCAGTAGAAAGGAAAGTTACTTAAGTGGTGTAATGAACTCAACCCCAATGGACGCAGAGCAACAACAGTGCAGGGATAGCAGAGAAAGGTAGAAGAGGAGGGCGAGGATGAGGCAGAGAAGGTGGGATAGAAAACCCAGAAGCCACAAAGCCCCAAACAATGGCGGCTGCACAATCTGCAGGCTGGGGGGGTGGGGGTGGCAAGGTGGAAATAGGGAGAAAAAAGGAGGAATTTTAAATAAAGGACAATGAAATTAAACAAGAAAAAACATGGTAGTGGATACTTTATTTTGTTGGATTTCAACCACCAAGTTTTGGGTTTATTTCCTCATGGTCCTCCTGCCCTTCCTCCCCCTCCCCCATTTTCCCATGATGGTGATAAACTGCTTTATTCCGTTCCCCATCTTTTTTCTTGCCCAAGTATCCAGGCCTTTTTCTTTATCAATGCATGATCCTTAGCGCTTGTCTTTGAAGGACAAAAAGTTTTCCACGTGTTAGAGAAAGTTAGGATCCGGGAGGACTCCTGGAAGCATTGCTTGTATTGACTCCTTCCTTTAGCTCAGGGCACTCTCAACCAGCCCTCCTGCTCCGCGCAAGTATCTGTCTCTCACAAAACTCGCAATAGTTCATAAAGGCCTCTTGTCAGAGATTTGCAGGCATATGAATGGGAAACACCATATAAACAGTGAACAAAACACATCTTTTCAAGTTGTTAGATTTTTTTCCTTCATGGTCTTAAAAAAAAAAAAGCAACTACACATCTTCCATGTAATAAACCCATGCACATATAATAGAAATGGGAATGTAATATTTATCCTTATAAGGCTTCTCAAAAACATTACTCAGGCCAGGGTTTATCTCGGCTACGCTGAGGACCAGCCGTCATTCAGTCGATAAATGACCTCATTTATTTTCTCAGTCCTAAAAAAAAGGTTTGTTTGTTACGCTCGAACACTGACATCACAGGAAGATGCCAGTCTTTATACACATTTATAAAAGTAGAATATGTAGAGTATGATACAGTGGTACAAAGTTTTACAAATTAATACAAGTCAAATATATAAATTACAATGAAAGAGAGGAAGGTTGTGGTTCTGTCTCGGGGCGGCTCTTTTAGCAGTCATATCTCTGCAAAGAAAATGAGAGCGGCGTTAGGTTACAATCAGACTAAACAAACAACGATGCCATCTTCGTCCTAAAAATTCCTGTTTGAAGCAGACCTAAAGCAGGCTGATGTCAGCTTCAGCTGAGAGCTTAGACAATGCTCATGAAACGTTTTCTAAACAAACGGACACCCATCGTCCTCTCTGAGGAAAAGCTGCTGGAAAGGGCCACGAAAACGCAGCTTACCGGTGTTGGGCTCACTCTGAATGTGCTTGGGGTAGGTTTTTATTCTTAAGGATTTTAGAAATAATGCCATGGGAGTTTCACCCGGGAGTGGGCTCAATGTGGGTAACTTTCCCAATTCAATACTACCAAGTTACAGACTTGACTCATCTACACTAAAAAACCTTGCCCTTTGAAAGTGTCTTTTGTCTGAGGAATAAAGGTAGCAGATCTGCACTGGCATGTCTGGGAAGAAGCCATCCCTACTGTGACTCAGACAGATGGGAAACCCTGTGGGACTATTTCCCCCCCACCCCACACCCCCTCCCACGCTCAGGGAGGAGAGTCACTCTTCCAAACCACTATGCCTCTTCCCCAAATGCACAAGTGCTGATGTCCAGCAGGGCCTCACCTAATTTAAACTCCGCCTTGTATGCAATTCAAGGCTAAAGATAGGTTACATTAGAGTAATTCAGAGAGGCTTCTTCTCTGTCTCTCCCCAACCATACTGTCTGGAAACAAGTCCACGTTGAAAGTTTCCCACTGTGTTGTTTTCTTGGAAATTTGGCAGGCTCCCAAAGGAAATTATTAATCTTGCTGTACTTGCCTGATAAGGGAAACTAGATTTTTAACTTCCCCTCAAAAATTTTAGAAACTTTCCATTTATTTACAGCAAGGTTTTTCATGGTAGCAGTGGGCTTTCAGTTTTCATTAGGTTTTGTCATATTTTAAAAGAGACCTTGATTGAACCAAAGGAGCAAATGATTAGGAAAACAGAAATTAAGTTTCTGTTTACCTAATCCTGTTTTACAGAATAATGCATACAACAAATCCTCCAAAATTGGACCAAAGCTGGACTTCCATCAATTCATTAATACATGGGTTTTTTTTTTTTTTTTAGTAGGATATAGAAACAAGAACTTTCCCTGCTACTAACAAATGCATACTTCTCTCTGAAATCATATCCCCAGGAAACAAGTGCTTCCTGGTTTTCTTTCACTGTGAAAGCCTTTTCACAAGCTGCTATTCAAAGCTTACCAGCGATTCTCTGTGCTTAACTGTTGGGCATTTTGGGGACTCCTTTTTAGGAAGGAATTGTAAAAAATATGCAACAGAACAGCAAGTATTGTTTACAGGTTGAGAGCAGGAGCTGTGGCATAAGATGACCCAGGGTTTGAAGCCTGCTAGTTCCTGACTAGGTGATCTTAGACATATTGCTCAATCCCTGACTCATAGTCTCATCTGAAATGTGAGTGTAGCTCAGTGCCTAGTTCAATGAACGTTGACTACTATTTGTGTACACTAGTTGGGAACATTAGAGCAAGCAAAGTTGTGTCTCTTTGGCCAGAGCAGGGCCAGTGAAAGGGGCGGTGAGTTTGCTCTTGAAGGGACACTTTGTCTATGGACAGCATTTTCCGTATATACACAGAGCCAACTACAAAAAAACAAGATAATCCAGGGACTATGACACTCAAGGAAGCTTGTTACCGAGAGCAAAACCGAATGCTGTACGTGCTCTGCCACAAAGACGGTATAGGAACAAATCCTAGTAGGTTGAGCAGTGTTTAATTTTGCCTTTTCTTCTTTATGATGAAAACAATGGCGTATTATAAGCATTGAATACCCCAGGGCCAAGCGGTGACATTTTCACACAGGTTCTTACCTGTTGGCGCGAACAGCAATAGCCACATATTCCTCCCATCGTTCCATTTATTACTTGAATGAGACACAAGATGAATTCAATTCCACCGAGGGCCAAGAGGATAGAAAACAGAGAGACATTCCATTCTACAACATGTTTGGGTTCAATGCACTGGGACCATGTGGAGGTATCCAGAAGGTACCTGTGGATAAAAAAAAGAAACTTCTGACACCTGACCACACCTAATGGGATGTCTCATAAGCTACTTTCTGTGTGGTGCTTTTTCGTTCAGAAAAAAAGAAAGGAATTAATTCATTGACCTGTATCAAATTTTTCTAGTCCTAGTCATTTCACGAAGTGAGGAATTTAGCCCAGGTCGTGTTGCAGGGACAAACATAAAATTCAGCAAAGATTATCGGGCACTCAGTGTGAGTTAGACATCAAGCCCAGGCTGGGGCTATAATGGTGAACACGGCATGGGCTTTGCCCTGGAAGAGCAGAGCCTCCAAGGGAGGAGACAAGATGCAGTCGCAACGCAACAAGTATACTGATCAGGTTAACCAAGTGTGAGGAAGGGTACTAAGCTAGGCCAAGAGAATACCTGCTTATGTAACTGTTCCACAAGTCTGAGCTCCATGACGATAGGAACCAGACCTTTCATCATTGTATATATAACCCCTAGACCAGTATCTGGCACATAGTAGGTACTCAACACTTTTAAAAGTAATTGAATGATAAATAATCTGAAGTCAGGTTAGCAAGCCACGTTGAAGTCACATACACACACACACACACATATACACAGGCACACACATACAAGTCATATACATATATACGTGACTTGGGAGATTTTCTAAATACCTTAATATTCTTACAGTCTGAAAAATTTCTATCTCTGATTACTCTCTTAGAATCTCAGCCTTTGCTACATCATAAAGCATTTGGATCCTTAATGAAAGGATTCAATCATGTGAGAAAATCTATAATTGACTTAATTCCACAAAGAGGTCTGCTATATTATCAGTTTTTCCTGAAACAACAGAACAAAGGGGCTTGGAATTAGAGACCTAATTTTGAATGGTCATTGAGCCAATCAGAAATTCAATTTGTTGATTAAGAAAGAAAAAGAACTCTGTCCTTATGACCTGGTCTTTCTGCCTATCAGTGGGGAAAGGAGTTTGTAATTTTAGGACACAATGTAAAAAAAATTCTTTGGCCCCACTTGTCCATTGAGCAATTAGTCATTGGCTTGTGACCATTAGTTATTTCCCATATTGAAATCCTTGGACAGGTTGAAGTGAGGAACGATACAGAAGTAAAAGTTTTCTTACAGAAGCTGGGGTGGGTCAGGGGAGGGACATACACTCAAACAGCTGTAAAAATGTTTTAGTGATCCTCGCCCTTCTCCTTACATTCCAGCTGCATTCATCATGATCTTTTTTAGAGGTGGGTTTTCTATGTCTGTGAATACATGAATAGCGAATTTCTCCCGGTACGTTCAGTATGTTCCAAACACAGTTGAGTCACGATCACCAAAGTGTGATCACCTTGTTTTGACCACCAAAATTTCAAACCCCTCTAAATGCTGATTTGCCTTCAGAGGCTACCTTGGCTGTATTCATTGTAAGTTACGAGAGAGTATTAACAGCCAACAGAGGCCATGCTCAGAATGTGTCAGCTTCTGTGACAAGTACTTTACATTTATTATCTCATTAATCCTCCTGACAACTGCCCCTGGTTTTATTTTACAGATTAAGTAACTGAGAAGCACAGAGCTCGGGCCACTTTTTCCTCGTTGCTGAGGGAGAAATGCAGAGCTCGGGTGGAATCCAGGTCCATGTAATTGCATGTGCATGGTTTATGAACTTACTATTCATGGGGGACAAACAGTCTTGATAATGTAAAGGCAATTGAAATTCATTATTCATATTATTTTCACTCACGAATCTCACAACTAAGCTTTTCAAAATTCAAAGCAGGATGTCATTCATTTGTCGTCACGTACATCAGTTTCTATCAGCTATTTCTGATCCTTTCTCAATAATGGGTAAGAAATAAGCATCAACATAAAATAAAAGACCTTAAATTATCCTGATGTTAAAGTCGCGTATCAGACCTGTCTTATATAAGCTGATCACTTTAAATAATGGGTTTGTTGTATGTGGTTATTATGTTTATATGTGAGTGTGTGTATGGGAGTAGTATGATCTACCCTGGGCTTTGGTTAAATTCATATGCTTTCCATCCACATTGTGTAAGGATTCCATAATATGTTCTTATAAAATAGTAAAATCAGCTAATCATTCTGGTATAGTGGACACACTGTATGAGCACAAGCTCTACAGCCAGGCTGCCTGGGTTCACATCCTGACTGTCCATATCCTTCCTAGCAATGTGACTTTGAATAAGTTCCTTCAACTCTCTGTGTCTCCTGTTCCTCATCTGTAAAATGGGAGCAATAGTGGAAGTCAACTCATAGGGTATCATGAAGGCTGAATCAGAGAATCCACTAAAAAGCACGGAGAGCTTCTCCAGGTCAGGGATCCAAGCGCTGGCACCACCGCCTGGTGTGAAAACACCTGGCCGAGCGGACGGACACAGGGATCGCTGCTGCCATTCCAACCTGACGGGCTTGCCACTACACCATGTGGTGGATGAGCACGTGTGGCCCGACGGGAAACAATTACTCACTGTCCATCGGTGTTGGCAAAGGTGTAGTTCCAGCGGCCAAAAGTATCAAGACATCGTGGTCCTTCTGCCAAGCCCAGGGCTGCCACGATGACGCAGTAGCCAGATCCCGCAATTCCGAGCAGAGCAGCCAGGACAGAAGAAAGCATCTGGCGGGAGGAGAAACAGCAGAAGTGAGCCTGCGTGGCCCCGGCCACCTCCCAGGGACCGTTTCCACGCCCGGAGCTGGAACACCTACCGCGCATCTCTTGCCGCAGTTTTCGTGGCCACCGCAGCCGCAGCAGTCATCCTCTTCCAGCCCGATGAACACAAATGCCGGGAAGAATATCTGGTCCGAAAACAGGCAAACGAAAGTCACCGCCTTTCCCCCAGGTCAGAGCCTGCCATAAGGGTCAGGCGAAGCATCTTTTGGTGGAATATATTTCTTTCTGACAGTGGTGGATGGCTTTGGGTTCGCTTGCCCAAGTAGCTCAAAGAATGTAAAACTATGAGAACAAGATGCTTCTTAGTGGAGTACCTGCTTGTTTGCGTGTGATGTGTCAAAGCAGTCTCTGGGGTGAGCGTGCCCGACGAGAGGGCTCAAAGAGGGACCCATAGAAATGTTCCTTCCACAAGAATTCCTAGCACAGTCCCAGTCCCAGAGGGACCTCTGCTTGGAAACTCTTAAGCCCTGCCTTTTAAATCTGATTTTTTTTTTCCCTTGTAAAACATAGACGATACTAACAGTCTTTCATAGAATAACTGAAATTTTTCATAAATGGGAGAGATGAAGACACCATATAAGATGATGATATGATGGTATGGTTGTTGCCTCACAATAAAGCTCTTTAAATAAGGTAAGCATGAAATACCCCGAGTTTGAGATCAAAAGAAGCCTAAACAGGTGCGATGTTATATGAAGGACAAATGATTATGCCAACATGATAATAGTGCTTCATCATAATGTATTCAATTTAAACGTTGTAACATCTTTTCTTGACTAAGAAAAATATCCTGTGTGGTACTAGCAATTCCATAAAATGTCTTTTTAGAATTCTCAATCCCAGCATTTAAAGTGGCAAACTCAAGTTTGTCCACATTCTTTCCATGCTGTGGTTGAAGCTAATACTTTCAGCTCCCAGGTTGGCAGGCAAATTCCTCTCACTTCAATTAAAAACAAACCTTGGAAAAAACAACACATTCCACTGTTAGCTTCAGACCCTGATCTGCTGTTAACTGTAGGATTTTTCCTAGACACCACACCCAGGATTACATAAAGGAGAAAATTTATAGTTCTTTCTAAATAGCAATACACTCATAAGTCATGTGTTTTGTTTTTTTTTTTTTTCTGTCACAGGCCTGAGAATAAACAGCAGAGAATTTGGATCCAAAATTCTGTTGATTTAGACAGCGAACCAGCGGCGTCCTCCCAGCTCCCCAGAGCAAATGTTACATGCCCACCCCCCCCCCCCCTGCACTAGAAACTCTATAGGCCTTCAGTACTGATTTAAAAAGCTATCTGTTTTCTAGCTGTAAAGTAAGAGAACATAGCAAAAAAGTAGTTCACGGTTAGCTGAAAGAGGATTTTGTAAAACGTCTAACAAAATAAATACACCAGACCTATCTTTTGTGTGATCTGCTTTCCAAAGAAGAATGAACAAAAATAACTGGAATGGGAAGCAGGCATCGCAGAAACCTTTCCATGAAAACACCTCATTAACAGAAGAGAATTGTTTAAGCTTCTAATAATTCTGAACAACTTACCAGCAAGCCCCCTCCTACGATGCCAGAGAAGAACCACACGAAGCGGCTGAGATGGTTTTCAGAGGCATATTTCGTTTCCCCATTGGGAAAGTAAAGCAAAATATTGGCCACAATGCAGAGGATGGCCAGCCACACCAGAGAATGTCCGATGCATCGCGCACATTTGCCGTAGCACATGGCGGCAGAGAGTCTGGGAGGCTTTCCCTCTTCCCTCTGCAGCTCAGTGAGGGCCCGGAGTCAGGCGAGAGTGTGCCCGTCTGGGGAGAAAGCAAAAGCAGTTCTCAGCCCATTCCTGAACCTCTTAAATACTCGGAGTTCTTAGTCACTGGGTGGGTGAGGTACTTCGCTTTCATTGGTCCTGATTGCAGGCTCCCGTTGGGGTGGGGGGAGGCAGGGGAAACGTCCCGCCCTTTGGATGAAATCCTTGAGACAAGCAAAACCAGGGTAGGGACGTGAGAAACAGCCTTGGTCATAGGCAAGGAAGAAAATGATTAATCTTCCCCAAGACATGCACCGTGCAACTCCTTCACAGGACAAAGAACTAACAGGAACGTCTAAGACAACTTTCCAGTAACTGTCGAGGGTCCACAGCGTGACTGAGCCCGGGGAGGCTTTGCGAGGCAGCGGGCTGTGATCCTGCTCCACGCAGCTGTCTGGACAGCTTCCAGTCTGACGGCTCCGTGTTCACTTCCCCCTCGGCCCTGACTTAATACCAGACCTGGGGCCAGTCTCCTGAGCCCTGAGCTTGTCTCCTTGTCTGTGAGAGGCAGGGGGGGCGGGGGGGGGGCCGAAAGCCAGCCTCCACAGATTTGAGGAGGCTGTTGGGAACGTTCCCGAGCAGTCTTCTTTCCTCTGCCTGCTGCATGCTCTGCGGGACTGCTCCGACTGGCTGGCTTTCCCAGAGAGCTGCCTCCAGAACAAATCTGGCACCAAAACAAAGGTGGCATGAGTCAACACAAAGGGTTCGGGCACGTTTTTATTCCTGAGTACTGCTCTCAGGCAAAGTGCGGACGGCAAGGGCCAAGGGAGACCTAAAGCATGGGGGAAGGATAAAAAGAAAAAGAATTAAAAAAAAAAAAAAAAAGAAAAAGGAACAGAAGAGAAAGGGACTTGACAAGTAGAGCGGGGTGGGGGGAGGGGAGACTGAGAGAACCTGGACTGAGTGGGGAGGCAGGGTTGTTGATCGGGACTCAGGGTCTCCCCGGGGTCTACCAGCCAGCTCCTGAGCCAGCTGTTGCACCCTCACAGATGAAGGCCGGGAAAGGGGGTTACTCTGACTTTCTTAGGTGGCTGCCTTGCAGAAGGAGGGGTCGGACTCCGAAGAAGTTCAGCCCTTGAAGAGCAGGTTGTGCAGGCCAGGTGGGCTAGGGGAGGAGGGGGTGACCAGGTGGGGCCAGGACTGGAGGGGCCCTGTCCCCGGGACAAAATAGGGAGTGAAGAGGCAAAAGGCCAAAATGGGGTGTTGTTAGTTCAGAAGAGGAAGGTGAGCAAGCCTGGTGAATCTGGGAGCTCAGGCTGCGGCCAGAGGCTGAAGGATCTGGGCCAAAACTGGAGGGCAGGACACATACCAAATTTGAGGAGGCTAGCCGGGTTTAGTCTCATAAAATCCGGACTGGGAGGAACGTACTAACAAAGGTGGGGCCATGATCCAGACTGGCCTGAGGGAAGAGGTGGATAGAAAAGTGAGCACAGGCCGGGAAGGCTGGAAGCGCCCACCTGCTCAGGTAGAGGAAGGCAGATTTTTCACAAGAACGTCACTCCGTTACCACCGTGCATCCAACAACCTGGCCCATGCATCCTCTGTCCTGGCTTCAGGTCCTAATGGAGAGAAGATTACACAGGGCCTGGGATGGCGTCCCAGGTGAATGCCTGGGCTCTTTGTTAAGGCATCATCATTGCAAACCTCACTCTGCGGATCTATCCCACCTGGGGCCAAAATGCGGTGAGCAATCCTGTGATGACTTTGCTCCTGAGTGCTTAATCCCCTTCCCCCTTCCCCTTCACCCCTACAGTCAGCAGGGTGTGGAGAAGAGAGTGAGGGGCATGTGAACAGTCTGGAGTAACAGCCCACCTCTACTGTTTTGTGGATCAGGCAAGTCATCACATTCGTGGGACTCTGTTTTCTACTCTATAAGACATGGGGCAGGACTAGATCAGTTGTTCTGGAGTTTTTGAGACTCTTGTGATGATATGGACCCTCTCCCCACAACCCCTGCCAAAAAAAAAAAAAATGCACAGGTGCATTCATTCAACTTCAGAGGTTTCATGGATTCCCTGAAGCCCACGTGTGGATTCTCTTGCACATTTCTCCAGGTGGGCCCTGTCTGGAGACCATTTGCATCACAGATGCAGATACTTGGTCCAATCCCAACATAATAAATAGGAATTATGGGGGATGAGGCCCAGTCATCTGAATTTTTTACCAACACTTCAAATGAGTCTTCTGTTTCGCTCGGGTTGGGGATCACTGGCCTGGTCCACGGGCCAGCAAAATATCATGTGTATTAGATGTTCTCTGAGGCCACTCCCACCTCCAGTGGCTCCTCAGCTCTAGGCAGACATACAGGGTGTGCATGAATTGTGGGGGACACACTGCAGTTCAGTTTAAGTCCCTTGCAAGCTTGAGCTGACCAAATTCACTTGTAATATGGAGTCTGTCCACCTTGCCCACGCTCCTATCATTCTATATAGTACCTTCTGCTTCTGCCTCCCAGCTGGTAACCTAAATCAGGGTCCTTTTGGGTTTAGTTCCTGGTTTAAGACCAGATATGCTTTTCTGGACAATTGTTTAACCACTTGGCTCTGGTCCTAGCCAGACTTTGCCCTACAGGCCTTTCTCCTGGCTGTGAACTCTCAGCCTCCTGTGCAGAGCTGCAATCTCCATGGACACTTTCTGGGTTCCATCCCACTCTCCAAACCCTACCCCCATCCCTCCCCCAGTGTCTGCTTCCCCCACCCCCCATCATCTTTGTTCTAAGCATTATCTTCTCCCAGAGCTTCCTGCTGTAGGATTCTGCTCATACATCGCCTCAAAGAGGCCCTCTCCAAAGACCCCATCTAATGATGGGATTCCCCCTCCCCCAGCTACTCTTCATCACATCACCCTGTTCTATTACCATCCCAGACTTTATCATCCCTGAGATTTTTCTGTGTATTCACTTGTTTCCTTTTCTATTGTCTGTCTCCCCTCCTCTGAATGGGGAACCCTTTTGGCCCTTGTCCACCATTGTTTCCCAGGGCCCGGAACAATGCCTGCTACATGGTAGGTAGACAGTAAATATTTGCTGAAAAGCTAACTGAATAAATAAATGAATTGATAAATTCTTAAGCCTATTCTTACCAGGCTGATGCTCCAGTCCCTCCACCTTCAATTCCGTTATGCCTCCTTATGAGCCACGGCCTCACTAAAAACCCCCTTAGCTGGTTCACACCATTGCTCCCCAGTCCCACCACTGCCTGACTATTTAGTTGGGGCAAGTTATTAACCATTCTGTACCTCAGTTTCTGTCATTCTTTGTTCACCATTATTTATTGAGCTCCTACTGTGCTTTCTAAGTTCTGGGTATATATACAGCAGTCAAGAAAACAAACAAAAGTCCCTGCCCTTAAAGACAGTCCATTCTGTCAGAAAGCGAGAGACAAATACAAAATAATATTAAATAAATAAAATACCTTGTGCATTAGTGTAAGTGCAGAAAAGGGGACTAGGCGAGGGAGGGAGACAGCCTCCTGAAACAGGGTAATAATAGAACCTACATCACAGAGTGTGATGTGCAAAGTGAGTCAATGTGTGCAAAGCATGAAGCACCTGGCATTTAGCAATCACTCAATAAATGCTACTTGTTATTACTTACTCTTTTCATCAGCCCACTGGCCCAGGCAAGATATCTCTACTCCCTTTATGATATATCTACTTCTCTGGCATCCCATCACACCAATATGTATTAGATCCCTTTATTGTCTTTTGTGACTGATTTTTAGATACTGGAGTTCCCACAGTGATATTAAAAGTTCACTTTACCTCCCTCTTTCCCTCTGGAATCAGCCTCAATGCACAAATACCTTTGGAAAGAGTGGTCTTTACTTTGCCACAGGACTGTAGGTCTCTGAGCATTGGACACTGGTTCTCAACCCCATGTTTTGGGTATGTTGTCCCACTGCCAAAAAGGCCCTGTTCTTCCTTCTCACCATGGTCCACCCCACCTGGCTTGGTTCCCTTGGCTGAACTCATTGCTTTTTTTTTTTAATTTTTTATTGTTATGTTAATCACCATACATTACAAAATTAGTTTGTGATGTAGTGTTCCATGATTCATTGTTTGTGCATAACACCCAGTGCTCCACGCAGAATGTGCCCTCTTTAATACCCATCACCAGGCTAACCCATCCCCCCGCCCCCTCCTCCCCTCTAGAACCCTCAGTTTGTTTCTCAGAGTCCATCCTCTCTCATGGTTTATCTCCCCCTCCGATTACTCCCTTTCATTCTTCCCCTCCTGCTATCTTCTTCTTTTTCTTTTTTCTTAACATATGTTGCATTATTTGTTTCAGAAGTACAGATCCATGATTCATCAGTCTTGCACAATTCACAACGCTCACCATAGCACATACCCTCCGCAATGTCTATCACCCAGCCACTCCATCCCTCCCACCCCCCACCACTCCAGCAACCCTCAGTTTGTTTCCTGAGATTAAGAATTCCTCATATCACTGAGGTCATATGATACATGTCTTTCTCTGATTGACTTATTTCACTCAGCATCACACCCTCCAGTTCCATCCACGTCGTTGCAAATGGCAAGATCTCATTCCTTTTGATGGCTGCATAGTATTCCATTGTGTATATATACCACTTCTTCTTTAGCCATTCATCTGTCGATGGACATCTTGGCTCTTTCCACAGTTTGGCTATTGTGGACATTGCTGCTATAAACATTGGGGTGCACGTACCCCTTCGGATCCCTACATTTGTATCTTTGGGGTAAATACCCGGTAGTGCAATTGCTGGATCGTATGGTAGCTCTATTTTCAACTGTTTGAGGAACCTCCATACTGTTTTCCAGAGTGGTTGCACCAGCTTGCATTCCCACCAACAGTGTAGGAGGGTTCCCCTTTCTCCGCATCCCCGCCAAAATCTGTCATTTCCTGACTTGTTAATTTTAGCCATTCTGACTGGTGTGAGGTGGTATCTCATTGAGGTTTTGATTTGGATTTCCCTGATGCCGAGCGATGTGGAGCACTTTTTCATGTGTCTGTTGGCCATTTGGATGTCTTCTTTGGAAAAATGTCTGTTCATGTCTTCTGCCCATTTCTTGATTGGATTATTTGTTCTTTGGGTGTTGAGTTGGATAAGTTCTTTATAGAT